CCACAGAACAGCATGCAATACAAATAATTAGCCTGTGTAAGGTAAAAGTAAGAATGTGAGAAATCCTATTCAGACCAGAACATCTATAGATTCATTTTACATACAAATCACCAAGATTTGTGGTTCAAATACAAATTCTGATTCATCAGGTCTCTAGTGGGGCCAAGGACTGCATTTCTAAAGAGTGGTTGATGCTGCAATGCCTAGTCTGGGAATCACATTCAATAGCAAGGCTGTGGTCCTGGGTAAGAGTCAGGTATACACAGGGTTAGTCTTCTCACCAAGAAGCTTTTATGTATATAAGTTTGAAATCAAGTTCTTCACTCACTTATAGGAGAAAAGTGAAAGTGTTAGTTGTTCAGTCATGTCCAGTCATGTCCTATGGTCTGCCAGGCTCCTCTGTCCATGGGATTCTCCAGGCAAGAATACTGGAGTGGGTAGCCATTTCCTTCTCCAAGGGATCTTCCACACCCAGGGATGGAACACCGGTCTTCTGCATTGCATGCAGATTCTTTATCACTGAGCCACCAGAGTGGGAGTCACTTATAGGTGATTACACATAATTTGTTATCATAAACACATCAACCATTGCTTGACCTTAATGAAAACAAGACTTTCACATGGACACCAAAACTGATACTTTACTGAAAAGGTATAGAGCATGAAAATAAAATATTTTGCCTAGTAATAAAAAATGTAGTTTAAATTTTCATCCTATTGACATTTTTTCCCTGACTTAAAGACCATAGTAAGTGAATGTACTCAAATGTGTGTTGCTGTGTAGACTTCACTTGGAAACCTGTAGTGGATTATCATTTGTCAGCAACTAAGGTAGGCACTATGGACAATGCTGAATAAGAGAACAGGATCTGAAAGAGAAGAATAAGACTAGATAATCACCTATAAAACACATTGTAGGTTCAATCTCCATTTTCAAGGATAGTTATGGCAGTGATTTTCAGAAGAATGTTGTACACAAAATGAAAAGCTGTAGTCTCAGATTTCCTCTACTATAAGATCATATCAAGTACCTTGGCTAATAATAAATGTAGTTTTTCCACAGTAGTCCTATTGTTTACTACAATCTTTCAGTAGCACAGAGAAAAATTATTTGGGATGATATATGTCCTCTGAGCAGAAATTATCCTTAAGAAATCCACGCTGCCCTATGAAATAAATAAGCATTATATATATTTTAAATCAAGTTTGGGAAAGCTTTGAGAAAGTAGAAAATGAATAAAGGGGGAAGCTGTTTGTAAATCAGACAGAGAAGGAAACATAAATGTGAGTTACTTCAATGGTATAAAGAAGTTGAATCAAAGAAATGAAAATGAATCAAAGAAATGAAATGGAGACACAGAACAATTCTATGTTCACACTCTGAACAAAGAATATTAAATTCTGGCTCAAATGCTTTGCAGTTTGCAAAAAATAAGGACTTATTTAACCCTATGAAAATTAGTCCTTCTATTGCTGCCATCCCAAAGAACATTTTCAGGGCTTTCTTTATATCTTCATACCTTAGACTAAGAGGAAATGGTTCAGCATGGGTGTAACCACAGTGAACATCACTGAGGCTGTTGCACTTGACTGTGAGCTATGGATACCAGCAAAGCAAAGGTAGAGTTCTAGACTGTTATAATAAATCAGGAGACAAGTGAGAGGTGAGACACAAAGATGGGTGCATACTTGTGCAATAAGTCACTTCAGTCATGTCTGGCTCTTTGCGACCCTATAGACTGTAGCCTGCCAGGCTTCTCTGTCCATGGGATTCTCTAGGCAAGAATACTGGAGTAGTTGCCATTTCCTTCTCCAGGGGATCTTCCTGACTGAGGGATTGAACCTGTATTTAAGTCTCCAGCATTGGCAGGCAGGTTCTTTACCACTAGTGCCACCTGGGGAAGCTATCTTAGAGTATAAGCAAAGGATCATAAGTGATCACCACCCATGAATACAGCTTCAAAATATATCCCTATGTCATTAAGAAAGGCTTTATAGTTGGTAAGTTGGACCACCTGTTATATTCTGCTGCTGCTGCTGAGTCACTTCAGTAGACCCTGTGCAACCCCATAGACGGCAGCCCACCAGGCTCCCCCGTCCCTGGGATTCTCCAGACAAGAACACTGGAGTGGGTTGCCATTTCCTTCTCCACTGTTACATTCTACCTGTTATTTATTCCCTATTCTGGGAAAGATCTCAGCTATTATTTATTTAAATAGCATCTTTTCTTTCTCTCACACTCTCTTTTCCTTCTAAGATACTCAGTATACTTATTACCTCTTCTATTGGAGTCCTATAATTCTTGTAGAGTCTCTTCATTAAAAAAAAAAAAAAAACAGTTCTCTTATTCCTAAATCATTCTACCTTTGAGGTCACTATTCCTCTTCACCATATGATCTGCTCAACTTTTAGTGCTTTCTAATGCATATTTCCTGGGTGTTCATTGGAAGGATTGATGCTGAAGCTGAAACTCCAATACTTTGGCCACCTCATGCGAAGAGTTGACTCATTGGAAAAGACCCTGATGCTGGGAGGGATGAGGGGCAGGAGGAGAAGGGGATGACAGGGGATGAGATGGCTGGATGGCATCACCGACTCGATGGGCATGAGTTTGAGTAAACTCCGGGAGTTTGTGATGGACAGGGAGGCCTGGTGTGCTGCAATTCATGGGGTCACAAAGAGTCAGACATGACTGAGCGACTGACCTGACCTGAATGCGTCTTTCATCTCATTTACAGAGTTCCTCAACTGCAGTATGTCTGTTTGGTTATGTTTAAGAGTTTTCATCTCTTTGAAAATCGTTTCTTATTTTCATTTATTTTTTTTAATTTATGAGTTTAAGTGCTTTTGTAAGTGTTCCTATAGCTTCCTGAGTTTCTCCATGACACTATTTGAGTTTTCCACTGGCTTGATCACAATCTTAGAAGATTAGATGGTGTTAAGGTTGGTTTCTGGAAAATTGTCATTTTCTTTTGTGATTCTGTGTTACTGCGGTTTTTCATGGTGCCCAGTGGTAGCACCTCTGGCAGTGCATTTGAAATTACAAACACCTTTTTCATTTAGGTAAAAGTCTGTTCATTCTGATTCTAACAATTCCACAAACTGGTAACAAGAGGCCTTTCTGTGTTTTTCAGCTAGGTGACACAGTAACACAAGTCTTTTGTTTCTTTTACCTTAGTTGCATCCGAGTTGCATTTACTGAAGTAGGAAATGCAACCCACTCCAGTATTCTTGCCTGGAAAATTCCATGGACAGAAGAGCCTGGAGGGCTGCAATCTAGGGGGAGGCAAAGAGTCGGACACAACTGAGTGACTGAGCATGCATGTGCTCACTCATCTGGCTATTTTTAAGAAACTACTTTTTTGTCCTTCACTGCCCCTAGCAGAGGCACTGCTTGGTGCATTGTCATCACTGCTGGTGCCTCCAGGGTCACTGGTGCCTTGGTGCTGCTAATGTCCCTGATTTGGCTGGCATCTCTGCTCAGGAAACATGATAGTGGGCAATTTTGCATCATCCAGGGTCACCTGGTTCAAGGTCCCCACCAGCACTGCTGCCTGTTTCCCTTGGTTGTAGATAAGGCTGCATCTGGAAGGCCAGATTCCCATGTGCCACCTCCACTGGTGCTACCAAGTGCTCTGGGTCTGTGGACTCAGCTGCCTCAGCCATTGGGCTGGGACCGTGGGCACGGCCTCTTGCTCTTTTCCCCTAGATGCACCTCTTCTGTGTATTCTAATCAACCCAATTTAACATGTAAAATTGTATGAATCTCTGGACTCCTGGTTATGGGACAGATGAATATTTGCTGAGTTATGGAACTCTGATTAATCAGAGATAGGAGGGGAGAGAAAAAGGGAGTGTCTGTGCTACCGTGACGCTGATGTCATCAAAGATATATTTATTTTTTGGTAAACTGTGAGATTGACATATATATATGGAGTTAACTATCATATATTGGTGAAGAAAGACATTCAGTATAACAGTATACAACATCATGGTTGAGACTTTAGAATTACAACATAAAAAATGACAGGTGAGTATAGATTCACAAGGAGCCAAATAGAGATCAGGATAACCACACACTATACAAACTCGTTTGTTAATAAGCATTATATTAAAGCATCTACTGTGAAAATGAGTTATTATGCAGCAATAGCTAACTGATCAAAAATAAAAGTGAACAGAACTGAAGGCATTTATATTAATCAGCTTCTTCTCAACTCTAAAATTATTCTGATATTTAAAGGTAGCATTCATGAATACTGTCTTTAAATTTTATTTCAGATAACTATATTAAAAACTGGTACATTAAGTTTCCTCTCCAGATAAGCAGGAAAAGATGAAAAGTGTGTTTGTTTGCTCTAAACATGTAACCTTGCATCACGTGACTGGATAGGCATTTCAGTCTTCCAGCGAGTCATCCTTTGGTCATGTAAATATTTTGATATACCAAGTTCACTCTGAACAATGCAGTGGTGAAGGGCACTGACCTTCTGTGCAGTAAAGAAATCTAAATATAATTTTATAGTCAGCTCTGTATCCACAGTTCCACATCTGAATGTTCAATGTAACATATTAGAACCTATTTAAAATACCTTAGTTGTCAACTTTACTTTAAATAAAAATGAATAATGAAACTAATAACTGTTGTTTAGAAAAATAAGAGAAAACTTACTTGTAATGACATATGTCATTTGAGAATAAATTATTCTTAAGAAACTCAGTCCTCTCTTGAAGGACATGAGTATTTCCAAATATTTCTGATCCAAAGGTAGGAAAATTTGGAAGTAGGAAAAAGTACAAATAAAAAGCCTATATATCAGATTGAGGAGAAAGCTTAATAAATCAATACATGGAATTATTTTAATGAAAATGAAATGGAAGAAAGAGAAGAAGCAAATTTGATTCTACAATGACCAAAGAATACAAATTTCTGATTCTGAGGCTTTGAGTCATGTCATCAAGGTCACTTCATCTCCCCCAGCAGAGTTGGCCTTTTCTACCTAGTATTTCATAGAATCTCTTCAGAGCCCCCTTTATGTCTTTATTCCTTAGACTGTAGATAAAGGGGTTCAGCATGGGTGTGACAACCGTGTACATCACTGAAGCTGCTGCACCTGAACTTGAACTGTGGGGAGTGGCAGGGTTAAGGTGCACTCCTAGGACAGAGCAATAAAATAAAAAGACAACTGAGAGGTGAGATGCACAGGTGGAAAATGCTTTATACTTTCCCTCAGCTGATGAGATTCCACGTATGCAAGAAACTATTTTAGAGTAAGAGTAAAGTATCCCAGCAAAAGGACCACCACCCAGCAAGGTAGCTGCAAAATACAATACCATGTCATTAAGAAAAGTGTCAGAACAGGCAAGTTGTAAGACTTGATTGAGTTCGCAGAAGAAGTGGGATATTTTGAAGTCTGCACAGAAGGACAATCGCAACACCATTAACTTCTGTAACAAGGAGTACACGACACCTACTATCCAAGATATCAGAACCAGAAGACCGCAGAGTCGGGGGTTCATGATGACCATGTAGTGCAACGGGTGACAGATGGCCACAAACCGGTCATAGGCCATCACAGTAAGGAGAAAATCATCTAAACTTGCAAAGAGTATGTAAAAGTACATTTGGATGATGCAGCCTTCAAAGGTGATCAATTTGTTCTGTGTCTGGATATTCCACAGCATCTTTGGGATGGTGGTGGAAGTGAAGCAGATGTCTACAAAGGACAGGTTGGAGAGGAAGAAGTACATGGGGGTGTGGAGGTGGGAGTCTGAGCTTACAGCCAGGATGATAAGCAGGTTTCCAAACACAGTGATCAGGTACATGGACAGAAAAAGTCCAAATACGAGGGGTTGCAGCTCAGGTGCCTCTGAAAATTCCATGAGAAGAAATTCTGAAACTTCTGAAATATTTTGTGGTTCCATGCCTTGTAGGTAACTACCAAGATATAGAATAGTAACTGATTAATTTTTACACAAGCAAGCATTAGCAACCAAGCATGCATGCATGTTCAGTCACTTTCGCCATGTCCGACTCTCTGCGATCCTGTGAACTGTTGCCTGCAAGTCTTCTCTGTCCATGGGATTCTCCAGGCAAGAATATTGGAGTGGATTGTCATTTCCATCTCCAGGGATCTTCCTGATGCAGGGATTGAACCCGTGTCTTTTCAATCTCCTTCATTGGCAGGCAAGATGTTTACCATTAGCACCAACCTAACATAAATGCTATTACTTACATCTCACAGTCAAGACATTAGCTTCAATAGGTATCAGTAGGGGATGAGGCAAAATCCTTTCTCATTTTTCTTCTGTGCCATCTTCTTTGTTACTCATCTTCTTTGAGCTTTGATCTCTCTTTTGTAGGTTCAGTGGGCATACTACTTCTGGTTCTTTTTTTTTAATCAACATTCAAAGCCCTCCCTAGACCATAATCTATAAATCATGTATATGCCATGATTATTTATTCTCTTACACTGAATAACTTTTTTCATAAATTTCTCATTTGTCATACATATATTTATTTTACTATACTCAGTTCAGTTCAATCGCTCAGTCATGTCTGACTCTTTGCGACCCCATGGACTGCAGCATGCCAGGCCTCCCTGTCCATCACCAACTCCCAGAATTTACTCAAACTCATGTCCATTGAGTCGGTGATGCCATCCAACCGTCTTATCCTCCGTCATCCCCTTCTCCTGCCTTCAATCTTCCTGGCATCAGAGTCTTTTCAAATGAGTCAGTTCTTCACATCAGGTGGCCAAAGTATTGGAGTTTCAGCTTCAGCATCAGTCTTTCCAATGAATATTAAGGACTGATTTCCTTTAGGATGGGCTGGTTGGATCTCCTTGCAGTCCAAGTGACTCTCAAGGGTCTTCTCCAACACCACAGTTCAAAAGCATCAATTCTTTGATGCCCAGCTTTCTTTACAGTTCAACTCTCACATCCATACATGACCATTGGAAAAACCATAGCTTTGACTAGATGAACTTTTGTTGGCAAAGTAATGTCTCTGCTTTACAATATGATGTCTAGGTTAGTCATAGCTTTCCTTCCAAGGAGTAAGTGTCTTTTAATTTCATGGCTGCAGTCACCATCTGCAGTGATTTTGGAGACCAAATAAATAAAGTCTGTCACTGTTTGCATTGTTTCCTCATCTATTTGCCATGAAGTGATGGGACCAAATGCCATGATATTAGTTCTCTTAGGCTGAGTTTTAAGCCAGCTTTTTCACTCTCCTCTTTCACTTTCATCAAGAGGCTCTTTAGTTGTTTTTCACTTTCTGCCATAAGGGTGGTGTCATCTGCATACTGTACTCAGGCTTCAACAATATGTGCCACCATCAAATGAGCAGGGGATGCACCTGCATAACTCACTTCATTTTTCCCAAATGTATGTGAATATTTATGTACTTATTTACTAACACAAGGGCTTCCCTAGTGACTCAGCAGTAAAGAATCAGCCTGCAATGCAGGAGACACAGTAGATGTGTGTTCAATCCCTGGGTGGGGAAGATGGGCAACCCACTCCAGTATTCTTGCCTGGAGAATCCCACGGACAGAGAAGTCTGATGGATTACAGTCTATGGGGTCACAGAGAGTCACACATGACTGAAGAGACTGAGCATGTCTGCATACACATTTAAGAAAATGGGAAGTGATTAAATAAAAATTAGTGGCAAAACTACAGAAATATACTACTATATACTGCTTAATATGTAGTATCTATTGAGCATAGCCAATATTTTGCAATGTAAATGGAGAGTAATCTATAAAAATATTGATCACTATGCTGTACACCTGAGGCTAATATAATTTGCTAAATCAATTATATTTCAATGAAAAGCAATAATGGCAGCCAACATAAGAGCAGTTAAATAGGGAGATTTCATGCCGTTATATTAAGCAAAACAAAATGGAACATCAAAAACTGATGGAAATATGATATACAATAGCAGTAACTGAACAAGAGCAGTATGCATTAATAATTACTTTAGCCAAGGCTTTCACTTAAGTGACTATAATATAAATGTATCTAGAACCTTTTGGCACATAGCAGTTGCTCCATTATTATTTGTTGAAAGATTAGGAATTAGGTCATATCAGATATGAACATTTAATACATAGGAAGGTTGCGTTTCAATTGAGCTGTGAAAAGCTGAATTGTTCAATAAAAGCTGGAACAAATGACTGCTTCTCTGGAAGGAAATAAGGAACTTTTTTGTTTTTAATATAACACAGCTTCAAAAAATCAGGGTAAACTGTCCATTTCAGATGAACATGTAGCAAACATGTAAAATCTGCAGTTAGAAAACTAAAATAATTAAAGCTAGAAATTCAGAATAAAAAGAACAATATAGGGGACTTCTCTGGTGGTCCAGTGGCTGAGACTCTGTGGTCCCAAGAAAGGGGGCCTGGGTTCAATCCTCAGTCAGGGAACTAGATCCCATGTGCTGCAGCTAAGAGTGTGTATACTGCAAGTAAAGATCCTGCATACTATAATGACAATCAAAGATCTTATGTGCAATGAAGATCAAGATCCCACATGCTACAACTAAGATCAGTGCCTGCATGCATGCTCTGTTGCTCAGCTGTGTCCAGCACTTTGTGACCCCATGAACTATAGCCCACCAGGTAACTCTGTCCATGGAATTTTTCAGGCAAGGATACTGGAGTGGGTGCCATTCAGTTCTTCAGGGGATATTCCCAACCGAGGGCTCAAACCTAAGTCTCCTGTGGCTCCTGCATTGGCAGGTAGGTAGATTATTTACCACTGAGCCACCTGGGAAGACCCAGCTAAGACCAGTGCAGCCAAATAAATAAATAAATATACATTTATATTTATAAATAAATATAAAATTCATATAAATATATGTATGTATATTATAAATAAATATAAATATTTATATAAATATGTAAATGTTTAAATTTAATTAAAATATATAAATTTAATAAATTTAACAAATATAATAAATTTAATAAATATATATTTATACTTATATAATAAATATATATTTATATTTATATAATAAATATATATTTACATAGATAAATAAAAATTTAAATTAATAGATATATATAAATTTAATAAATGTATAAATATTTATATAAATATATATATTTAAAGAATGATACATTAAACTCTATGAAACAGAAAATTTTGGTCAAAAATACTCAGAGAAAATGAATCTAGAAAAATGGTATAGATGAAGCTGTTTGTAAGGCAGAAACACAGACATAGAACAAACATATGGAAACTAAGAGGGAAAACGTGATAAGATGAGTGGGGAGATTGAGACTGACATATATACATATATATTTTTTTAACACAAAGAAAAAGAGAAGTATTCTCTAATTCTGCTAGAATAAATGTGAAGTGTGATACATTGGGGAAACAACTTGAAGAGAGCTGTAAACGTTAAAAACAGATATTCTGTAATTCAGGATTCCTCGGTCTCTGCACTACTGGATATTCTGAGCCAGGTCATTCTCTGTAGAGGTATCTTTCCTGTATATTCTAGGATATTTATAAGGATCCTTACCCACCACCTACCTCATCCCAGTGTGATAGTGAAAAATGTCTATGGGTGTAACCCCTGGAGGAATTACTCATCCCTGGTTGAGAAGCACAGTTTTAAGTGAATAATATCAAATATTTGTAAATCTGTGCTATAATAGCAATTTGTTGAAAAATAATATGACAGACCCCCAGATATGTGAGTATCATAGCCACACTGTGAAATATTATACAGACACTAAAATAATGAAACAGAATTATACTAATTGATTGGAAGCAAGTTCCTAAGGTATTATTGATTTTAAAAAATAGAGAGGAACAAACAGCAGAAAAAAAGACCTCACTGAAACATAAAGAATATTTATGAGGTACACAGGATTGTGTTCAAACATTTGTGCAAACATGTGTGAATTTGTGTAAGTGCATAATTTAGAACAAGAAGATTTAAAGGAAACTAAGAACTTATAGACGAAAATGTCAGTAAGAATGAAATTAGATTAAGTACATGTTTTATTAAAAAAAAGAGTATACAATAAAATTGAATGAAAATTTATGGCTAACTTATACAAAGATTAAAACGTATTAACTCAGAGATACCAACATGGGTACTTAATTCAACATTAAAATTGCTGAAGATCGAAAATGAAATAATATTATAACCAAAGTGCTTTTAAAATGTGGGGATGAAGTAGAATCTAAATTATAATTTCATCTCATTAGACACAGATGGATTCAGACATGCTTATAGAATATAATGGTAACATTTAGTCCAAAGATTAAGATAAATATCTTCCAAATTATGGTGAAAGGTGATGAACTTTTATAAAAGGATTTAGTCACAAGGCCACAAGGAGCATTAAGGAATAACAGAGATACAAAAACTCACTGGGAACGTATATCAGTATAAAAGATTATTTATTACCTCTAAGGATTTTTGTGTTTGTTTATAGCAAATATTGACACATGGAGAATATTAAAGTGGCAGCTAAATTAATGTAGCAATAACAATAAAAAAGCAATGGATGGGGTATAATGTATAGTACTGTGACTAATAATCAATAATACTCTATTGCATATTTGAAAGTTTCTAAGGAACAGTAGATTCCAAAAGCTCTCATCACAAAAAAAATTGCAATTGCACTATGAATGCTGACAAATGCTAACTAGATTTATTGTGGTGGTCATCTAGCAATATAAACAAATATTGAATCATTGTGCTCTACAGCAGCGACGAATACATTTTATATGTCAACTGTAGCTTAGTTCTTTGTTTAAAAAAATGAAGAGAACACTATGAATGATAGACAGATTTGACAAACAAAATTAATAAACTCTTCCCCCAAACTATATCACACGTATTTAAAGAACTGGGGGATTCACAGGGGGATCACTGGGTAAAGAATCCACCTACAATGCAGGAGATTAGATTCCAGGATGGTGAAGATTGCCTGGAGGAGGGAATTGCAACACACTCCAGTGTTCTTCTCATACTATTCATGGGGATTGGAAGGATTGGGAGCCGGAGGAGAAGGGGATGACAGAGGATGAGATGGCTGGATGGCATCACCGACTCGTAGGCATGAGTTTGAGTAAATTATGGGAGTTTGTGATGGACAGGGAGGCCTGACGTGCTGCAATTCATGGGGTCGCAAAGAGTCGGACACGACTGAGTGACTGAACAGAACTGAACTGAACCAGTGTTCTTGCCTGGGAAATTTCATGGACAGAGGAGCCTGGCAGGATATAGTGCATGGGGCCGCAAAGAGTCAGACATGACTAAAGTGACTGAGTGCACACACATATAAAAGAACTAAATGGCAAACAGTCTGTTTTGTGTAAAGAAACAATTCTTTGTTTCAGAGAACAATAAAAAAGGAATAACAGCGCACTGGCACTGCTATTAAAAAAAAAAAAAAACGGATTTCTATGGACTTTAAAAAAAAACATAGAGAAACTCTGAATGGCTAACAAGCACACAAATATATTCAGCCTCACAAAACAGAAAGAGACTCACAGACTTAAGAAACGAACTTGGTTTGTTGGTTATGGTTGCCAGGAGGAAAGAATAGTTAAGGACTCTGGGAAGATCATGTACATATTGCTATATTTAAAATGGATAACCAATGAAAACCTATTGTATAGCACATGGAACTCTGGTCAATGTTATGTGCCAGCCTGGATGGGAGGAGTTTTGAGGGAGAATGGATAAACGTATATATATAGCTGATTCCCTTCACCATTCACCTGAAACTATCACAATATTGTTAACTGTATATATCCCAATATAAAATGATTTTGGTGTTAAAAAATAAAAAATAAAATTAAAAAGTAATTGCAAAGTGAAGCTCATTAGGATACCTCTTCTCACCAATGAAATAAAGATTTTTTAATGTAAATGCTCAGAGTTGAGCAAAGACACCCAGGCATGTTCATTTCATACACTGCTCTTGCAGGAAAGTCTTTGCAAGCATTCATTGGTCTAGATCTATCTTCTTCATGTGGAAATAATAGTCTAATATAGCCCATCTTACAATAAAAAAAGTGGCCTCACTTCTCTGTATAACCTTCCACAAGTGATACCCTATTTGTCTATTCCTGTTAATTATTGATCTCCGAGGATTTATGATCTACTTTTCATAAAAGTATTTTACTTTTCCTGTTTATTCTTTTAATTGAACTCCCACTATTACCATTTAATTGTCAACATAGACAATTACATTTTAGAATGCAATGCTCAATTTTATTTTTGACCATTATACATAGATACATTAAATTATTAGGAAAGCCAACAAAAGACTGTAGTGATTTCTGGTACCTGTGTATGTTAGATTGCCTCACAGGTGACCTCAGGTACATGTTCTCGGCTTCTCTCCTCACTGATCCTCTCCTGCAGTATCTGTGGAGCTCTCAGACTCAACTGCTCGGAAACTTTGAGAGAAGGTTTCTGTGTGGCAGTCCAAATTCTCCCCTAAATAGTTGATGATGCAGCCCCAAGTTGTGTGTAATTACAAGACAAGAAGAAGAGATCAAGTATGGGTTTCTCAGTGAGATTTAGGTCTGCAAAAGCAACTACATCCTGTCCAACCAAAGCGGCACAGGCTGAGGGACTGCAGCAGAGGAAATATTTACAGCTTCCTGTGTCAGTTCATTAGGCATGTCTATCCTTTGTTACTCCAACCTCTAAGTATGTGATTTCCCTTAAGAACACAGGGCTGGACAGAACGGACTCTTTATCCTGCTGATTCTCTGTTCCTAGGAGACTGCATTACAAGTTAGATGAATTCAGTTTTTATCACTCCTTCTCCTTTAACTTTCCTGCTTCCAAAACTCTAAGCCTCCCAGGACCTCATCACATCCCTGTGTTCAAATTCTCTCAAAAGTGTAATATTGAGAATTTGTCTTGACTGAGTCACATGGGTCTTCAAAGCTTTGATTGGTGGTGGGGACATAACCCTTGAAATATCTAAAAAATGCTATTCACCTCGTCAAAGACAAGGTAACTTTGTGTAATTTTTAAATATAGAAATTGGGCATTATATTATCTGGATTCACGATAGCTTTCCAAGACATTTTCCAGTTATATCAGAAGTTATGAGCTCATTTAATCCCTCATTATAAAATGTTTATAATTATAAGAGGGATATTTATATGTTGCTATGCACCATAACAGAACATACCAGGCAAGCCTGGCATGCTGCAGACCATGGGGTTGCAAAATGTGTGTCACAACTTAGACACTGAACAACAACAAGACGGGGCCAAGGTTCTCTGAGGCATGCCATTGTGTATGCTTATAATAACAAAAGCAGCAAAACAGGAGTTAAAGCCAGAGAAACAGATCCAGAACGGAACCAAAATTAACCCTTCCAGGTTACAGGGTTACAGAAGGAGCAAATTTTAATCCACAAGGATGAGAGAATCACAATTGCTGAATCAGAGGCTTTAAGCTATGAAAAAATAGCATGCATTCACCCCCCAAGAAATTTGGCCCTTTTAACATGGCTTTAAGTAAAAGCTCTTCACAGCCTGCTTTATGTTGTTGTTCCTCAAACTATAGATGAAGGGGTTCAACATAGGTGTGACCACAGTGTACATCACAGAGGCTATTGCACTTGAATGTGAGCTGTGGGTAGCAGCAGAGCTAAGGTACAATCCTAGGCTCGTACAATAGAACAAGGAGACAATGGAGAGGTGAGATGCACAGGTGGAGAATGCTTTAGACTTCCCCTGAGCAGATGAGATTCTACATATGCAGGAAACTATTTTAGAGTAAGAGTAAACAATCCCAGCAAAAGGACCACTACCGAGTAGGAAAATTGCAAGATAGATCATCATGTTATTAAAAAAGGTATCAGAACTGGCAAGTTGTATCACCTGATAGAGTTCACAGAAAAAGTGGGGAATTTCCAAATCTGGACAGAAGGACAATCACAACACCATTAAGCTGTGTAACAAGGAATACATGGCACTCACTACCCAGGATACCAGACACAGGATTCCGCAGAGCCGGGGGCTCATGATGACCGTGTAGTGCAGGGGGTGGCAGATGGCCACATACTGGTCATAGGCCATCACAGTCAGCAGGAAGTCATCTAATGCTGCAAAAAGTGTGTAAAAATACATCTGGGCAATGCAGCCTTCATAGGTTATAGCTTTGCTCTCAGTCTGAAGATTCATCAGCATCTTTGGGATTGTGGTGGAGGTGAGACAGATGTCTACAAAGGACAGGTTGGAGAGGAAGAAGTACATGGGGGTGTGGAGGCGGGAGTCTGAGATGGTGGCCAGGATGATTACAAGTTTTCCAAAAACAGTTATCAGGTACATGGAGAGGAAAATCCAAAATATGAGGGACTGGAGTTCTGGTGCTTCTGAGAATCTGAGAAGAAGAAATTTAAAATTCTGTGTGTTGTTCCCTGGTTCCACGTGCTGGAGTTGACTACCAGGAGAAAGGAAAATAGCATAATTACTTTTCACACATATGGGCATAAGTCACATACCTGAACTACTATAGTATCTATTGTGCCATCAAGAAAATGATTTTACTATTTTATGTATAGGTAAGTTCTCTTTGAGAGTATGTGTGCTGAATCACTTCAGTTGTGCCTGACTTTGTGTGACCGCATGGAATGCAGCCTACGAGGCTCCTCTGTCCATGGGATTCTCCAGGCAAAAATACTGGAGTGGGTTGCCATGCCCTCCTCCAGGGGATCTTCCTGACTCAGGGATCATACCCCAGGCTCTTAAGTCTCCTGCAGGTTCTTTACCACCAGCACCATCTGCTATACTCCCAATTTATCTTTGACTAGGGATTTTTGTCCCATTCTCAGCATATTTACAAAAAGGTCATATATTCTACACAGCTTTAATGCAAAATTCTTTCATGCATTTGAGAAATACATATTGAGTGCCAACCATGTTCCAAGCAATAAGTAGAGATGATAAAAAACAAAGCTCTCACAATTCAAGGATGTTGAGAAATGATGAGCAAATAAAGTATTATATAATATGTTAGGTGGTGACAGATACTATGAAAAAAGCAAAGCCAGTTATGAATGAGAGAGTTGTAGGAAGTGTTATTTTGTACTGAGTGTTCAGTTAAGGTAAGCAAACAAGAAGATATTTGAGCATTGGACTTCAAGAAAGAGAGGGAAGTATCTAGTACTGTATCAGGAGAAGGGTGTGCCTGCAGAGGGAACAGCCACTGCAAAGGATTAGAGGAAGATGCTGGTTCCACATGTTCAAATCCAAAAAGGAAGCCAGTGGGTCAGAGAATAAGAAAGAAGGGGAGTCATTAGAGATGTTGTCAGGCATGCTGAGGAACAAGGTGGCCTCCCTGCTACAGCTGAACCTTCAGTCCACAGAGAATCCCTCCTTACAAATTCTTTATTTTCTTGCAAAAATATCATGTTAATTAAGGTAGATTACATCCTTAGTATTATACAATCTTTGACTGAATTCTGGCCTCTGTATTATAAGTCCCCTTAATAAAAAGGCCCAAGTGACTCTGATTGAAGAATTGTTTTCAATCCACAAGGTGTGAATTAACAAGAACTAACAAGAACTCCTGGGCTATGTAACTCCATGCATTTCTCACCTATAATCAGCATCCTTAGGCCATGAGTTCTGACATCCTAAGCTGGTCAAACCAGAATATCTTTCCTGTATAGAATGTATAAATGGTACCTAGAAATTCCAGTTCATGAACTTCTAATGGACCAATAAATTTGGAGTTCTTTTTCTACTTAACCATTTTCTTCTCTATATTTAAAAAAATATTAAGAGAGAGGCAGAAAAAAAATAGAGAGGAAAGTTAAATGGGCACATAAATATTAGGGGAGAAAATATCCAATAGTCCAAATGTACCCTGAGACAATACAATGAAGAAAAGCTTCCTTGGTTTGGCAACATTCCAAATCCAGTGACATCTCCTTGATGAAAAAATTGTTTTTTTTTCCAAAGACAGAAACAGTGATATCTTTATGATATGAAATAAACTGCAATTTGAATATCCTAAAAGAAAAATAAGCAAAAGGAATAAAGTAACAATTCAAAGCAGGAAACACAAAACACAACAAAAGTTAGGAATGTTTTATATGAAGCAGCAGCAGATTTCTTTTTTCCTTGAGGCTTATCCTTATTTGTCTACTCCTGTGGTAATTATGGGCTTCTCTAATGGCTTAGCAGGTAAAGAATCTGCCTGCAGTGTAGGAGACACAGGAGACGCATGTTCAATCTCTGAGTCAGGGACATCCGCTGGAGGAGAAAATGGGAACCCACTCCAATATTCTTGCCTGAAAAGTCTTGGGCAGAGGAGCCTAGTGGACTGTAGTCCAAAGGGTTGCAAAGAGCTGAACATGACTGAATGACTAAGCATACACATGAACGTTAATAAATACAATTCATAGACTTACTGCCTAATTTTACTAAAAACAGGTTATGTCTCTCACTTCTTTTTTCTAATTGAACTTCCATTAACACCATTTAATTGTCAGCATCAACACTTGCATTTCTGAGTGCAATGTTCAGTTTATTTTTTAGACAATAAATAAATATACACTAAGATAAGGAAAGCCAGTGAACGACCACAGTGACCTCTGGCCTCTGGGCTATGCTACAGGGATCTTCAGGTGACCTCAGGTACAAGTTCCTGGCTTCCATCCTCTTTCACCCTCTTCTAAAGTGTCCGTTCAGCTCTTGGACTCACCTGCCTGCAGAATCTGAGAGCAAGCTTTCTGCATGGAAGGAAAATGACTGACGATGCAGAATAAAGTTTTGTCCACAAACAAGACAACAGGAAGAAGTCTTCTAGCCAGATATAGAGCTGCAAAAGCAAGGATCACATCCTAGTCAACAGCTATGGCACAGGCTGAGGGCCTGCAGGACAGCAGGTATTTACATCTTCCTATGTCAGCTCATTAAACACGTTTTCCTATTGTGACTCCAATCTATAAGTACGGGACTTCCCTTGGAGACAATGGTCTGGGCAGAATGTAGTTTTTCTTTTTCCTGCTCATTCTCTGTTCCTAGGAGACTGCTTTATAAGTTAGGTGAATTCAGTTTTTACTACTCCTTCTGCAATAATTCTCCTGCTTCCAAAGCTCTAAGCCTCCTAGCACCTCATCACATCCTTGAGTTCAACTTTTCTCAAAAGCATAATATTGAAGATTTTTCTTAAATAGGTCACATGTGTCTTCAAAGCTTTGATTTGTGGTAGGGACACAATCACCAAAGCTTCTGGAAATAACTATTCCTCTCTTCAAAAAGGGGAACAACTTTTCTCCTTTAGTATAAAATCTTGGGTATTATATTCCCTGGATTCATGGTGGTTTTTCCAAGCTAATTGAGAGTTGTCTGCTTACATCACAAGTTCAGAGCTGTCATTTAGTCCTCAGTACAAAATATTTCCAATTATGAAAGAGATACTGAGCTATTATTATGCCCAGTAAACTAGATTAGCAGATTATGTGTATGGGTGTCTTAGTCACTCAGTTATGTCTGACTCTTTGCCGCCCTATGGACTGTGGCCCACCAGGCACCCCTGTCCATGGGCTTTCCCAGGTAAGAATACCTGAGCTGCCATTCCCTTTACAGCGGGTCATCCTGATCCAGGGATTGAACCTGGGTCTCCTGCTTGCAGGCAGATTTTTTTCCCATCTGAGCCACCAGTGAAGCCCTTGCATATTATAGAGATTGACAAATTTAATTTTAAAACCAGTGTATTCTATGAAATAGTGCTTTTATGAGCATCATTTTCTATAGTCAAAATAGAACTCAGTGGGATTTAATGTTTAAAGTTATAAACCAAGTAAGGGATGGAATCTGATTGGAAACCCTCAGTTCTGGAGCTCTGGGGCAGTGATTCAATCTGAGAAGATTTAGTTCTTGGAATTATTTTGCAGTATCTGAAAGGATGCTGCTAATGTTCTATAAACCACAGAACATCAGCAGCATTAGTTGGAGACTACTCTTAAGAGTCCCTTGGACTGCAAGGAGGTCCAACCAGTCCATCCTAAAGGAAATCAGTCCTGGGTGTTCATTGGGGGGACTGATGCTGAAGCTGAAACTCCAATACTTTGGCTACTTGATGTGAAGAACTGACTCATTGAAAGACTGAAGGTGGGAAGAGAAGAAAACACAGAGGATGAGATGATTGGATGGCATCACTGATTCGATGGACATGAGTTTGAGTAAGCTCCAGGAGTTGACGATGGACATGGAAGCCTGGCATGCTGCAGTCCATGGGGTCACAAAGGGCCAGCCATGACTGAGCGACAGAACTGAACTGAACAGCACCCAATGTAAACAATTATCCTGCTCCAAATCAACAGTAAGATGGTGAGAATCCCTATTCTAGATCAAAATATTTCTAAATTCACTGTACATACAAATCACCAAGGGTTCTAGTTCAATGCAAATTCTGATTCACCCGGTCTCTTGTCGACCCAGGGACCCTGTTTCTGACAAGCTCCCAGGTGTTGTTGACGCTGCAGGTCCAGGTCTGTGAATCATGCTTTGGGTAGCAAGAAAGTGGTTCTGTGTTGGAGTCAGGTATACACAGTTTTGGGCTTCCCTCGTGGCTCAGACTGTAAAGAATCTGCCTTCAGTGCTGGAGACCTGAGTTTGATCCCTGGGTCGGGAAGATCCCCTGCAGGAGGACATGGCAACCCACTCCAGTATTCTTGTCTGGGGAATTTCATGGCCAGAGGAGACTGGTGGGCTACAGTTCACGGGGTCACAAAGAATCAGACATGACTGAGTCACTAACAATTTCACTTTCACTATTCAGTTTAATCTTCTTCACCAAAAATATTTTATATATATAATTTTGAAAAAGTTTTTCAATTGCTTTATAGGTAATTATACAGAACTTATCA